ATTTCAACTCTCTGGCAGACGGTCTGAGGAAGAGTGTGGCTCAAGCGAAAAACTCACCCCAAACTCACTCCACACCGGCTCGACAAAGGCTCCAACACCTCGGCATAGAAGCAGTAGTTCCAAGAACATGGCTGAAAATGAACCACACCGCAAGCAATCACTCAATTGCACCATTTGTTTACCTCAACAAGAAAACAAACAGATACCTCAAATCAGTACGCTATCAAGTTACTTTCATGAAGACCTACTCATTTGAATGAATTTTTTATTAATTGATGGTCCATCCATCAATGTCTGATTTAAAAACACCATTCCGTGAGAGAGGAGTGTGCGAGTGCCAGTGTGAGTGCTTCTTTGCGTGGTGCAGTGCGCGCGCGTTCTGTGCATTAAAAAGTGATGCCCTACTGAGGCAGACACAATAATTGTGAGCTGTGAGCTCTATCTGCTAACAGAGGAGTGTCATTAAGGGTTTATATCACAGTTATGAACTCTTACAGTTAGAGGGCACTGCTCAAGATGAAAGCTTGATGAGATTCTGATCTGTTCAGAAGCTGTTAATCGGCGAAACGAACTCCCGCGTTTAGTGTCGTTGTAAGTTGTCTAAGCCTCTCCCCGCGACTCATCGTGGAGACATGCGGAATCCTGTACAAATGTTTTGTGCGGTCATTCTACTTCCTAGCGCGTAGGGAAGCAAACCTCCGCACGTGGGTCTCATTACAAACGCCGGTCGAAAACGCAGTTTCAGCAACCCAACGGCGGTTGATAGCCGATCCCTGAAATGGCTGTAATTTTCGGAGACGCCTTCGCTCTTCATTGTAACTCTTCTTCCTTTTCGTACTTCCTGGTGTCAAGACTTTGAGGACATGAATACGATCTATCTTGTTCAGCGGCTTGACATACCGCCAGTTGAATTTAACAGAACGAAACGATGAGCAGTGCATCACTGAGAACTCGTTAAGGAATGTCGCCTGTTGCAAACATCGGCTGGCCAGAGCACGAAGCCCCAAGCTTTGACAATAACGATGATCCATGCGATCCCGCCCACATGTTTAGTGTGTAACACGAAAACATTCGACTTAAGAGATATCTCCTTTTTCCAGTCTCTGCGCACGTAACTATATTTCACTAGCCAATCAGATTGTACCAGCTGTTTCCAGGACTCTACTCCTTCATTTAAACAGTAATCTCATGCAGCGATTTCAATCGTAACTGTTGTAATGTATCACATGGGGGAACCTGGAGCTCAACATTGACAGCATACCCTCGCACTGAGTCCCTTACCCTTTAAGACTGTTTGCTGTGAACCTCTTCTAACGCATTATCCTTGTTTGAAACAGCGGGGGGGGGGGGTGACTTGGCTTCCATAGAACTTATTGACTTTCCCCGGCTCACGTGTGCGAAGCCCACTGATTTAGAGTGGCTAAGGGAATGAGTTAACACTAAGCACTGAGCTATTCGCCTGTGATACTCAAAGGCAAGGGAGACACGTCCGCGTTACCTGTCGGACGAATACGTCTAGCAGGACAGAGTTCGGCGCCTCTGAGCAGCCGTTGCGTGGCGCCTTTTCCAAGGGAGGTAACCCTATGGTGCCATATAAGCTGCAACGTACCAACCCGGAAGTCCGCCGCGCCCGCCCGCCCATAAATGCCCGAACAATGGTGATGTTTAGATAGCTTCATTTGCAAAGTACAATGAAACGAGTGATTGATATGAAGCGGCTGCCCTGCTGCATCGATATCTAACTAGGGAAGGTCGTCAGGTCGAAGTGGCCATTTGTGAGATGTAGCTCACTAGACGTGGTTTTGGACGCTGATCTCGAATCTGCCTTCGAAATTTGCAGAACGATTCTCTGAACGGAATTATGAAGGTTTGTTAGAATTAAATGAAGGAAACAGAGTCGAGCGCGGTTGCCGGCCACGCATGAATAGCCGGAGAAGCACAGTTGGGCTCAACGGTGGTATGGTGTAGTGGCAATGGTCTTGCTTCGCGGGTGTGCTATGAAGGGTTCGGATTTCTGGAAGGGAACTTGTTTTGCATTTTGTGGGGAATGTCTCTTTTAAGTCTAGAAAACACTCAAACGCCAAATGGGTGCCATATTCGTGTTCAGGGAGCAAAACTACCCTTGGGGACAGGTTTCTAGCCAGATGTGAGGTTTTGACCTAACTTTGAAAAGTGCGGTAGCAGTTGATCGAATGATGGTCACCAATAGTTCCAGGGCCAGTCTCTTGTCGATTGCTTGTCTTTGGACGGAATTTGCTTTTAGATACCAGGAAAACTGGAGCAGTAACAACATGAATGCGTAAGAAGTGGCAAGACGAGGCTTTGTGCAGGAGAATGTATCTGCAGCTGAATAGGTGTGAACATCAACTGAACTAACCCATGGATGCTTCACTTTTCGAAGTCAGGTCAAAATGGCAGATTTGGCTAGAAACCTCTACCTAGGCGTAGTTCGCCCCCATAAATACGAATATGGCACTCGCTCAGCGCGAAAACGCCTGCACTGCGCGCCAAGGGCACCTGTACATCTCCTAGATCATAAGGCACTAAGCGCGCCAGTAAGCGAACACAAACTGTTTTTCAGGCAAGTCAAGGAGAGCGCTAATGTAGTAGTGACGCTACAACCACTTTTTGCCACGTTTGCACAAGAAGCAAAAAAGTTAAGCTCAGCAGGGATCCGATCCCACGACCTGTTGCGTGGTAAACGCGGTGGGCTCCATAACTCCGTTCAGAGAATCGTTCTGCAAATTTGAAGGCAGATTCGAGATCAGCGTCCAAAACCACGTCTAGTGAGCTACATCTCATTACAAATGGCCACTTCGACCTGACGACCTTCCCTAGTAAGTAAAATATAGATGCAGCCGTAACGTTTATTGGCACGATGCCAATGGGAATCTCGTCCGAAATTGCCTTCTGAGTCGTGTAGAACAATGGCATTTTTTTGTAGACTTTAGAGCGTTTCACTTCGCTTTTTCGCCATCATCCCACTACATAGCAGTCCTGATACTACTTCAGACCGAGTACCACAATATCGAGCCTTATGTCTTTAATAGTAAGCAACAGAGGCAGCAGCAAGAGACTCAAAAAAAAATGTCGTAACGACGGTCCCCTGTCAATACTTAACAACTGAAGTCATTAGCTTTCACCTATCAGGTTCCTACCCCTGAGCCTCCAAAATTTGGCTATATGAGACCAATACCCGCGTTGGAGAGTGACGATGGCCGCTACGCTTCTTATCAGCCCCTGTCAGTTTTTGTTCTCTTTCTGTAACCCACGACTAGTTTTCCCGTCCCACTCCCTACATTCTGTCGGCATTGACTTCCTGCAGTTGTTGCGACCCGCGATATGGATTGGCAGCTTTCACCCCCCCCCCCCCCCCTCCTACTATTGTGAGTCGCTTTCGGAGACCCATCGTGTCTCCAACCTACTAGAGCAGCAGGATACACAACACCGGAAACACTTCCTGTTTTGCAGCTTTCGAGACCACCTTAGGAGGAACCAATCGCACACGTGAAGCATCGCAAGAAAAATGGAAAATAACGTAGTTTTACTAGTGAATCTATTCATTTTCGATCGAAAAAACATCACATCACAAAAACATCACAAGCTGGGAGTGTTGTAAATTAATTGAAGTCTTAAGTATATTTGATGGAGACGCATCAATCAGGCCTTCTTCATACGGGTCGTTGTCATTCGATAAATGATCGAGTCTCTACTTGGATCCATGCTCATCATTCCGACAACTGTATACAGAACAGCCTAAAAGTCAAATAATCAGCAAGATGATATAAAACAAACACATCTGAACCAAAATTAGTGCCCATTAGCGCCGAAATTAGCGCAAAATAAGTAGCCTGGTGTAAATACCAATCTTGTACCGAAATTTTAAAAAAATATTCAGAACTACTGTGGTGATCAGGGCGCTGATGTCATACGCTGAAATACCTGGCGAAGGGTCTTGTTCGCTACAGTGAAAAGAGGAGGTCGGATCTGGCCTGACCTTCCCCTTCACTTTTCCTTCTTTCTTCCTTCTTTTCAGCATTCTTCTTTCCCCCTCTACCCTTTCATTTCCCCCCTTGAAAGCTCGACCTATAGATGCGACTGGAAAACCCCTCTGGGCCCTCCCAACGAGATGCATTTCCACTTGTTTTACCACACATACTAGGCTTTACTTACCAGTACTAAGGCAATGACCAGTCCAGCGAAGATAGCAAACATAGCGGGATAGTCAGTCGACGTGAAGACGTACACATTTAATGACTCGCGCCATGTCTTCAGATTTGTATCCGTTTCTGTCATGTCAGCAGCCTATGAGAGTGGAAATAATGCGAGTAGGGCACGAACACTAGTAGTTGCCAGAAAAAGAAAAAAAAACAGAAGTATCCGGTGCTGTTCGGCTTTGGGAGAGAAGAGGATTTTACACCACATCTTTTTTATTGCTAGTCCCTGTTTTAATTTGGAAAGACCTGTATAACCCTTCACAAATGTAAATGTAGCTCATACTATTGTATAGCTTTGCAGGATTTCAGAGGTATCCACAGGATGCATCAGCAGTGATCGATGGGATCTAGCATGATGCTCCCACCATGCCGAACAGCACCAAAAGTCCTCTTCCAAGAAAAAAAGAGATCTTACTCTTTTCCTCCTGATCAATGTCATCTGCTCATCGTGATGACTCGGCGATTTCACTGGTTCGGAAAGAGCCAAAACTTCGACAATAACTTGATCGCCATAGGCCGTAGTCAATGCTTGCGTAAGCTTAAAGAACCATGAGATTTCATTCAGACGATTTCATAAACATTTGAAGACTGGAATTCAAAGTATGTTGTCTGTTTTTTTAAGCATCTTTAAGGAATTCCAAAGACAGAATACATGGTAAAGCGTTTTTCCGGAAGAATGGATTAGTTTCTGGATTCCGAAGATTTCAGAAATTTCGAAAGTATCAAAAATACCACATATGATCGAAATTACCTTGTCAATGGCATTTTGCAGATCTTTTAATGCTATCTGGCGCTCCTCAGTGGTTGAGTTGTTGTGCTAGCCAGCCCACTTATTGTCACGCGGTAGACGTCGGCCGCGTTCTTCTCCTCAAATTTAGCGCCCTGAGAGGCGATAGCGGCAGCCAGGCGATGAACATTTTCAAGTTCCTGACGCAAAGTTGGCACTTTTGTCTTGATTTCCTCTTCTTTTATCTGGAATCGTCTCTTGAAGTAATAGAATAGCTCATAAAACAAGATCCTTGATAAGGTCGCAACCAGCCGAGGCAGTTTCAAGAGGTTGGGGGGGGGGGGAGGAATAAGCCCGTCTCCGGCTGTATTGCTCTACCAATAATGACCGGTTAGTGATCGACTCAAGAAGAAAATATCAAGTGATGAAAAGAGCTGCGGCTGGGCCCATTCCATACCTATTGAAGCCGCCTCGACTGATTGCAACGGTACCAGCTGTAAGAATAGTGCGGTTTGTTCGGCCGAATAAGCGAAACGGTGTCATTGCAAAGGTAACGACAGTTCACCTGATGTTTGGCGGCGATCTCTGCAATTTCTGACCCACTGCTACCTTCACGGTTCACAGTAACAATCTCGCGATCAACTCCAAATACACTCGCCAACTCCTTCATCAAGTGGTGAAGGATCGAATCGGTCCTAAATAGCTTGCATTCAAATTGCAACATCAATACGTCATACGCTTCAAACAATCTTAAAATCACTAGTACAAAGCAAATCAAGCTGACAGCAACGCGTAACTAACCGCCTCAAGCTTGTACTTTTGGTACTTCTCTCCATCCAAGGAGTCAATTCCTTCAACACGAAACATAGCGATGGCATGTGGTCGCGAGAACAAATCGCCGTTTACCTCAAACCCTGAACAAGTACATTACGAGCGCAATCTGAAGCAGTGAAAGAAATTACGCACAGTTCGATTCCGTGGGGCAACAAATAGTACCTCAGCTAAGCCAGTTCATGACACCTTGTAAGGAACCTGTAAATTCTTGTAAGTTGCTCTTTTGTACGATTTTGCTGCTTCACAACAGTTTACAGGCCTTACTAGTTAACATGAACTAGCAAAAGAACTAGCTGAATGTGGAAAATCCCCCTCTCAAGCCTACAGCTCTATAACCAAAAAAAGCTATTCCTCGGATGCCTACTTGGGAATGTCTTCTTTACAGCTTCCTCAACAAAGTCCAAAAAAAATGTGATGGCCGCAAACAGGTATAGGATACATATGCAGCCGATATCGTCGCAACTAGGCGGCACGGTGTCAGGGGGTAACCCACTCCGAGTGACGCACTCGCGGTGTTTTTCACCACTCACTGTTGTCTTTCGGAATCGGGCTCTTTCCTTTGGGAGAGGCTATTTTGCACTTTTGCTAGTTCTTGCTCAATTACACATTATAGCTCGGTGGAATCACTTGTCTAATGGGAAAAATTCTCTTTGTAATGCATGGCTCGTAGGAATTTACGTCTCCACAGGAAGCATGGGCAGTGGTCGATGGGAACGAGGAAGATGCCCCCACCAAGTCGAACGGCGCCCTTGAACCGATCAAAAGTCGATTACTGATGGTAAAAGAAAACGCAGAAGAAGGCGGATTCATTCCACGCCTCCCGACACTGCTCGATTGACTGCGACGATATCAGTTATATAGTCTCACCGTAATTCAAAATTCCAAACAGGGAAACTTCAAAGTTGTTTTCTTTCCACCCAAAGGGGTCACTCATGGACATATGGATGAAGGGGTGCAAATGTGACAACTTTGTTGGTTTTTGGGTTTCTAAACCTACCATTTCACAAATTACTTTATATTTGGCAGCTTCTCCAGTTGCCTCATTATGACCAATTTTTCCAGTCTTATGACACATTCTGCCAGCATTTGTTGTGAAAACACGTCACAAGGACACACATAGTACCACAAGTTCGCAACGTTGAAACGGAAGCCGAGTGAAATCGTGGCCTCCCTTTACCATGCACATACCATTATGAAAGTATAGGACTTCTATTCATATGCTCATGTTTCTTCCCAGTAGATCGTCATCCTCAGAGGGCTAAACATGACGCGGTACTTGAAGTTTCACTCTTTGAGCCATCCAACGCTTTCTTTTTACCTTTTATTAGGTTGGCTAATAAGTAATGGCCGTTTTTTTCAATTGAAAAATTTGTTCGAAAAGTGAAACGTTTTGCAAGCAAGTTATATATCATCTGATAGGAAACTTCTCGTAGTATAAGAATATCAAAAAAGCTTTGGTTGAGGATATAGTTTTTGTGAATTTTTTAGTCGTTGAAGTTGGAAGTGAAGTCGGCGAAAATTAGCATCTTCGACAACTGCCTCTATTTAGAAATTTCATGCTAATAGTTGAATTAATTGAATTTGAATTTGATATTCTAATACTACGAGAAGTTTGCTATTAAACGATATTAAGCTTGCTTGCAAAACTTTTCACTTTTGAAACAAATTTTTCAATTGAAAAAAACGGCCATTACTTATTAGCCAGCCCACTAGCAGTTATTAGCCAGCCCACTAGCAGTGGGCTGGCTAATAAGTAATGGCCGTTTTTTTCAATCGAAAAATTTGTTCCAAAAGTAAAACGTTTTGCAAGCAAGCTTAATATCGTTTAATAGCAAACTTCTCGTAGTATTAGAATATCAAATTCAAATTCAATTAATTCAACTATTAGCATGAAATTTCAGGTGGAACAGACGTGAGCCTGCCCAATATTGGCAAGGTGAAGGTTGCCAACTTTGAAATTCTTGAAATTAGTTCCAAAGCGTCCTATTGAGATTCCCTTGCTGAGACTTCTACCTCAACCTTTTCCGAATGTATGGAGCAGCTTAAGCGATTTTAGCACTTCGAGTAGACGTAAATAGAGGCAGTTGTCGAAGATGCTAATTTTCGCCGACTTCACTTCCAACTTCAACGACTAAAAAATTCACAAAAACTATATCCTCAACCAAAGCTTTTTTGATATTCTTATACTACGAGAAGTTTCCTATCAGATGATATATAACTTGCTTGCAAAACGTTTCACTTTTCGAACAAATTTTTCAATTGAAAAAAACGGCCATTACTTATTAGCCAACCTAATACTTTTTACCATTACACCAGGATACTTTCCGTTTTGGGACCCTAAGCAGAAGTAGACAATCTTTCAACCTCTTTATTCACAGCTACTGTTCGCAGCTTGCAACCCTGCACAAACGCCATGACACTGTTGTCTACATTGCCTTTATGACACATTTAACAGTGTCATAGACAACCTAGACAACAAAGCCATGGCGAGATCAAACGCGAGCATACCAATGCATAAAAAAAAAAAGATAGATTGAAGGGCCATTTTTATTAGCATAAGACAAGCCAAGAATACCGTACCTGATACGGGCTTTGCTGAAAGCCCTAGGAGATTCTCATTGAGCAGCGGTAATTCGCTCAGACGGAGTTCCCGAACTGCCTGACGGAGATGGGATACTGACTGTCTTTGGCAGCGCCACGAACTCAAGCACCGAAGCCGAGCAAACTGGAAATGATCATACACTTATAAATACTCCCCTTCAAGGAAACTTCAGGACATGGATTAGCTATGTACATCAATGCCAATGTATATTTCACACGGTCCTGGAAAACACATTAAGAACAACGGTAAAACTGGCGTTATTCCAACAAGGTGCGCATTAGGCAGCGTTCATACTTTGCGTCAGCGTCCATCAGCATTTTTGCGGGCACTTTTGAAATTGAGCAAAACTGCTAGCGAAAACGTTGCTGTACGCTGGTAGACGCTAGCGTTTGCTAGATCGATATCTACAATTTTCTAGTCGCTGGCGTTGGTCTAGGCTCGAAACACTGGTGGAGCTGGTGGTCGCTGGGACGCTCGCAAAGTATGAATGCCTTTAGGTGCAAAATGTGGAAAAGAGATTTTGAGCTAGGGCACGGGGATGACCCCTCGAGTGGGTATATTGAGCCGTTAGCGCGACGTCTATCGTGGCTTTATACGCATTGAGCGCTTCGCACCTTATGCCTCCCTTATTTAACAGCGCCAGAAACTCTGCTATAGTAAAGTTTTCTCGAGCTGCTGTGAAGAACAGGCTCCTAAGAGGGTAACGGGGTATGGATTACAGGTTCGACCAAACTCTGAACGAAGATCTTTCCGCCATAGCTTCTCGTAGCTGATTAAAGTAGAAACCTGAAAGCGACTCCAAAGTTGAAACCGTAGTGCACCTTGGCTTTGGTCGCTTCTGAGAGAAAAATCCCTTATTTGGCCACTACTTGCTCTAGTTTCAACAACATTCGCGTCTGAACTCTTCTGACTTTACACACTCTTACTCTCTTTTTCGGGAATTCCATAAAACCTAAGCGACGCCTCAGCGACGGAGACACTCCCTGGACCTAGGAAGGGCTGTACAGGCCACCTTGGGAAGGTCTGTAATTCCTGCGAACTTGCAGATGTAGATGTATCTCGCAGCTTCACAAAACTGACAAGTCTCAGTAAAAAAAAGAACCTCCGTTAGTCATAGAGAAAATACGGAATGCCCCCCCCCACTAGG